CAACTGTAGACGTCAGCAGCCAGTGAAGTACTTGAAGATGTCACTCTAGGCAGACCATCTCCAATGCCAGGTACGTGCCCTCGCATCATCATCATCATCATCCCTTTCTCCGCCTCCCTGTGTCTGTGTGATGGTTCAGTGAAACTCTGACGAAACAGTTCGTCGCAGCCATTCGTCTGTTTGTCCTCGTCTCCCTCTTTGCCTACTGTTTTACCTCATATATATATATATACTGTTTGACTACATATACACATATGTATCTAACCCACGCAGGTGATACTCTTTCTTTCTCTCCCTCTCTCTTTATCTCTCTCTCTCTCTATCTTACACATACACACACAAACCGTACATCAGAGATCACTCGCTGCGCAGTTCGCCTCCGTGGCTCCGCGTCCTGGCCCACCTCCAATACCATCAGGTACGTATCTTGAACCTTCCTTCTCTTCCTACCCCCGCCATCTCTCTCTCTTTCCAACACTACTCTAAGCCCCTATAGCACTGTTGTATCCGGTAGTGGTGCAACCCAGAACAAAGACCGACCTCTTTCGCATAGTACAAGATAGCGCTGCGGAATGCTGGAATACCAATGATCAGCACGATCAACGTGCAATGCAGACCAAACATACATCATCACTATCGCAAGGTGTGAAGGGACCTGATGCTCACAGACTACAGACGGCAGATTCTATTCAGCCTATACTACAATGCCATCTGTCTGCACGTACGGGAAGTGAGAACTGCGGCAAGTTTTGTTTGAAATAATAAGAACAAATAAAATTAATAATAATAATAATAATAATGCTAGGCTACCAGAGTGGCCCGGGGTCACTTGCCCGGCCGTGCCAAAATAATTAAAAAAAAATAAATAAAATAAAATAGTTTTGAATTTTATTTTTTATTTTAAATTTGGTGAAGAATTTCGATGTGACCCTGAGGCAAAAGTTGTTCGGTTTATTTTTCTGCATAACATAGTTTTTTTTCAGAAGTTTTGATTTTTTTTTTTATTATTATTTTTTTTTGCTGGGACCTTACCTGATCCTTGCACGGGCTGGCCACCCGGGACCCGGGCGGCCCGGCTGGTAGCCTAGTAATAATGATAATAATAACACTAATAATAATAATAATATTAATGCGAGGGAGATGAGTGATAATGATCTTCAGAGATCAGCAGCACCGTTTCTTGTTTTGTGCTGTGCAACTCTGGACCTTTCTGAGAAATCCAGCCCGTTGCCCCATTGATGTTTGGTAAATATTCAGAATCAGACTGTGTTTAATGTGCTCTCTCGATATGTTTGTGATCAAGCGATTTTGCATGTACGCCCCGTGCTTACTTGTTGGCCCGGGGAAGTTGTTGGAAGGCGCCTCCAACTATAGGAGCGCCACTGATGTTAGGCAGGTTTTGCACTATATGAATGAAACAATCAGCATTCAATCTGCCTGGCAGTTGCTCTTCGGGCGGGGACTTGTCGGGAGTAGCATTCACATGAGGGCCATAATGCGGGGCACACATTTCCAGGACGACAAAGGCAAGGAAGGAACGAAATAGCACGTGTCAGAGTTACATAATGGACAGCTTGGCACAATCTCACGCATACACAGACGAAGAGAAGGGATCAGACGAAGAAGAGGAAGGGAATCAGACGAAGACGAGGGGATCAGACGAAGAAGAGGGGAAAAGGTGGGAATATCGTCAACACTAAGTCTCGTTACAAGTCCCAAATAGTCCCTCTTCAAATGTCTGAATCCCAATGCCGAGCCTGAATCCAAAGTCGTCAAGTCCCAAAGTCACAACTCTCTCTCTCTCTCTCTCTCTCTCTCTCTCTCTCTCTCTCTCTCTCTCTCTCTCTCTCTCTCTCTCTTCCTCCTTTTTCTCTTCTCCTCCTTCTTCCTCCTCTTCTTCTCTTTCTAATTCTTCTCTCTGTGCCTGTGTATCTTCCTCCGTCACGCGCGTCGTTCCTTCAATTTCCTTCGTGCGTTTGTTGTCGCCTCCGCACGCTCGGCCGAGCTCAAGCTCGTCATTGGCCGCTGCGTCGATAGAGTATCTGCCCGCGCGCCTTCTCTTTTTCCTTTGCTATCCCGCTCGCCACCCCCCTGTGTTCTCGCTTCCCGTACTAATCTCACTTTCTGGCACTTTATAATAGCACCCGTGGATGATATCAGATCACTATAATAATAATAATAATAATAATAATAATAATAATAATAATAATAATAGATAATAAATGTATACTGGCCATCTTTCCGGTCCGATACAGTCACGGCGAGGGTGCGTTGCATTCGGGGTCGGCAGTCGGTCTCTTTCCTCCTATTGTGGCGAGTGCTCTCTCCCTTCTCCCTCTCTCCCTCTCTCTCTCTCTCTCACACACGCACACACACACACACACACACACACGTAGCGGATACCTTGATGTTGCAGCGGAAGGTGCGATCGATCTGCTCGATCGTTTCGCTCATCCCTTCGATGGATGTTGAGCGCAGTCAGCCGCGGCCTCTGGGACTACCCATTGCCAGGTACGTTGCCCAGCGATCGATCGTAGTACTCTCTCTCTCTCCCTCTCTCTCCCTCTCTCTCTCTCTCTCTCACACGTAGTCCGCAGACACTGAGAAGTCAGATAGAGAGAGGGTGAAGAAGAGATGGTGGACTTAGAAGAGGAAGAAGAAGAACTCTCTCTCTCTCTCTCACACACACACACACACACACACACACATTCCATCGATCGGATGAGCAAAAACGGAATGAATCTTCCGCTGAAACGTGGAAATATACCCTGCCACTTTTGATTCGCTCATCTGTCGATCCAAGTAGCGTGCAGCGAACCGCGGGTGGGTGACTTGGCTGTTGGCCAAGGTTGGAGACTTATCGTCTCTCTCACACTCTCACACACACACACACACACACACACACACATACATACATGAGTAGCGGTAGATTCATTCCTTTTTAGCTCCTCTGTATCGATGGAAAGGCCGTGAGTTCCCTGCTACGCGATTTGTTCCCCACTGAACTTCAAAATGAGAATGAATCTTCCGAGGTAACGCGGGAAGATTCATTCCTCTCTCGTTCTTTCACACACACACACACACACACACACACACACACACACACATACACACACATACAGATGTAGTAATGAATATATCCATATTTTAGCGATAAATTCATCTATTTATTTGTTTATTTATTTATTTTATTTATTTATTGATTGATTGATTGATTTATTTATTTCTTCTGTTTTATTTATCGTATCGATGTACTATGAGGTAGTCGGGGACTTACCCGCTCTCCCTCTCTTTCGTTGTCGTCGCAGTCAGCGTCGTCGTTGTCGCCGTAGGTGAATCGCCCTTTCCGGCGGCAACCCGTCGAGACCACCACGATCCAGACACTTCACCGGCCCATTCAATCGGTAGGAGCGATGACAGTGCTTGCAAAGGACGTGGTCATAATCAGTGCGAGTTGATGACTCGCGTTTACTAGGCATTCCGTGCTCAAGATCGATAATAAATCAATCTATCCCCGTCACGATGAACCTTAGGAAGCTTTCCGGGGCCTTTCGACCCAGGCAAACGACTCGTCGGAGTCGTCAGTATAGCGCACGTGCAGCAAGGTAAGCCTTCCTCTCTCTCTATCTCGTCCTCTCCCATACACACAAGTACACATATCCATGCTCATCTCACACGCACTCACACATTCACGCGAGTAGAATTAGTCGTGTATAGTCCATGCTTTAACGTCTGATTCATGGAATCTTGCCCATCCCGTAGATGGATGTATCGCGAGTTTAGTTGTGCGCTTCACATATGCACACGCATTAGTAATAGACTTAAATGTATATTTCCATATGCTAGCGGTAGATTCATCTGTTTTTATTATTTTATTTATTTATTTATTGATTTATTTATTTATTTATTGATTTATTTATTTATTTTTATTTTTATCCTATCGATGAATCACGAGGTAAGCCGGGAGATTGAAGGCTTACCTGTTCTCGTTCCCGCTCCTCGTCGTCGAGTCGTCGTCGTCGTTGTCAGCTCGTCGTCGCTGTCAGCCTGTCGTCGTCGTCAGCCCGTCCGTCGACGTCGTCTGTCGCCAGGTAAGTATCCTTTTCAGATCCCCTGCGCGCACATTCCCGCACGCTTCATCTCCACTTGCGTAGTCTTTTTTCTTTTCCTTCGCGCTCTCCTTCTCCTCCTTCCTCTCCTCTTCTCCTTCTTCCTCTTCTTCTTCCTCCTTCTTCCTTCTTCTCATTTCTTCTTCTCCCTCTAAATGATAAGGTTCAATGATCTTCTCACAGCACTCCCAGCGGCAAACTGCCGAGATCACCTTGATCCTGGCACTTCACCGGCCCATTCAATCCGTAGGAGCGACGAAGATGAGTGCGGAGGGCAGGGACGTAATCAGCGTGAGCTGATGGCTCGCGCTTACTAGGCATTCCTCGTTCAAGATCGATAATTACACAGTCTACCCCCGTCGCGCGCGAGCCCGCAGCCGTTTGCGCATCTCCCCTTCCTACATTCTCTCCCTTCTTCTTCTTCTTCTTCTTCTTCTTCTTCTTCCCTCCTTCTCCTGGCACTTCTTGATAGTACCAATGTATTGCAGATCATGGAGAGGGTGCAAACGTTGGTGGTGAAGTCCAGTCTATCAAGGATTCCCCTTATGACTTGGACCAAGTTCCGTGGAATGTGCTGGCCAGGAGATATTGCAAGAGAGTATCAGGAGAGAAGTCCCAGTGGAGCACAATTATCGGGACCTTGTAAGACTGCTTTGGATGGCAATCTCCTCCTGAAAGTCATGGTGAGCTATCTCCATGACATCGGGCAAGTTATTTGGTTTGAGCCAATGCCATTTGTAATTACGAACCCCCAGTGGTTGCAGTTTCGTTGGTGAGCTCATCCCAACCGAATTTCATGCCAGTGGAGTCTTCAATGGGATCGCTGATGTGGATCCTTTAGAACGAGTGTTCTCAGAAGCTGTTTCTGGGAAATGCGAGGTTGGTGTGCAGGATGTAGTAGATCTGATGTTGAGAATGGAGCTTGCCTATAAGGTCTGTGACGATCCCAAGAGCAGCCTGTTGATACCATCATGCCTTCCTCCTCGTCAAGATGGGGACATGATTAGTTGGAAAGTGGACAGGAAAAATGGGCATGAACAGGAAGGCCGCTTTTTTGGATACCGGATTGAATGTAAAGACAAGACGCAGACAATGTTGACTGCAGGATTCTTCCATCGACTGCAGGTAATGTGTATTCTGCCTTTTTTAAACGTTTCCACCCCCCCCCCCCCCCCCCCCCCCCAAACGCTCAGACTGGCTGTTTCCTGTAGTTCGCTACAAGAAACTTCTGTTTTTTTTTTTTTTAAGTAATAGTTTCTCATTACCCATCTACGCTACCAGAGCGGCCCAGGACCACTTGCCCGTCCGGACAAGAAAAAAGTAAAACTGAAAAATTTTAAAAATATATTTTTCATCTTTATTTTTTATTTTTTATTTGGTAAGGAATTTTAAAGTTGTTCACTTTATTTTTGTGCATATTATAGTTTGTTTTCAGATTTTTTCGATTTTTTTTTTTTTTTTTTTTTTGCTGGGACCTACTTTGGCCCTTGCACAGCCCGGCGCGCCCGGGCAAACAAGGTCACCTGGGCGGCCCGGCTGGTAGCCTAGTTCCCCATCAACGAAACTATGACTATTGTAATGCTCTTTCTAAGATCCGGACTGACCACAGGATGTCTATACAATACGCTATACCGTAACAGTCGTGCACGCCCTACTTTTGACACATATCTAATTTCCGCGTTCTGCAGCTATTGTCACTTGGAGATGTTTGACAGTCTCAGTGTCAGTGTTGAACTTCATGATTTTTGCTCAGCTCCTGTCAGTGCTTTAATTATGTCGGTTTTTGTTTTTGGGTGCACTCATGTCGCAGTTTTTTTTTTTGTTTGTTCTGCCTCATTCCTTCTGTTTTAACGCGCGTTGGCTTCTCAGTTTTGTGCCCCGTTCCTTTTGTTGTTGTGCTTGTGGACTCCGCATTTCTGTGCCACATTCCTTTTGTTTTCACATGCATTGGGTCTCGCTGCACTACTCTACTTCGCGAAAATTCGGAGAGTTATGCATCGCTGCACTAACTCTACTTTAGAACCCCAAAAGAAATTTGGAGAGCTGTCAGAAACCACAAAAGAATTGCACTCTCCGCTGTCGGAGAGTGCCCAGCCTGCAAAATCCGTTACGCGGAGAGACCTTCGAAGGAACCACCGATTTGCTCCAAATCTGGAGAGTGAACCTTGAGTCTGGGCAGACAAACGGGGACTTTGAGCTGTCGTTTTGTACCCTCGATAGTTGTAGAGTCTGCGTTTGTAGAGTTAGTGCAGCGATGACCCAAAATCCGGGAAATCGGAGAGTCTGACAACTCTCCGCGTACTCTCCGATTTCCCGGAGAGTGGAGAGTAGTGCAGCGAGGCCCATTAACTCACACACATGAGCACGCACACACACTTTTTGTTGGACCTGGGGTTCAAAGCTGGGCACAGATCTTGAACGAACAACAGATGGATGAGGTAACTGGGTCACATTGTCAGTTTGGGGAGCTCTTTTTTTTCTACCTGTCCTGTGTACACCCCTTTGAGATCCTTTTTTCCCCCCTGAGATGTCCTCTTTTTCTTTCTTTATCTCTTTCTTTATCTCTTTCGTTATCTCCTTATCTCACATGAAGGTCTTCTTTATTTCGAATGGGCCCAGTTCCCATGGCAGAGACAATGAGTACACAAAAGTTTCAGTCAGGGAAAGCCAGGTCTCCAGCCTTATCCATAGACAGAGTCCCATCCCGGTAAACACAAGTAGGCCATCTTTCGCCCCACTCCAAGCAGCTCAATGCCACACAACTTTCTCTACCGTAACGCGTGAAAGAAACTCAAAATGAATGATACATGTCCCGTTTGAAAAGCGCTGGGGAAAAAAATTAAAAGAAACGTTCTTCAGGGCCGTGGTCCCACTAGCAACGGGCTAGGATAGAAAATAGTTCATGTGGCAGTAGAGCGACCCAAATCTGCACTGCAATGGCTTTCAGTCCCACAGTTGGTGCTTACAGGTATGACCTGAAAAATCCTTAAACCGCCAGTACACGGCCCGAGCCTTGCAGAAAGTTTGTTTTTTGTCGCCACAAGCAAAACTCGGAGGGGCTGTGCGGCGCGGGGCGCCGTTGAAAAAAAAGGCCTTTTGTAAGAACCTTTATTTTTTTATTTTTTTATTTTTTTTATTTTTTTCCTTTTCCCTTGCTATCATCATCTCCCAGCGCGAGGAGCAGTCCCTAAGAGAGAGTCTCAGAAAGCTTTACTCTGCCGTAGATATGATTGAGTCGTCAGGCGAGTCCGCTGGTAGGAGTGGAGAAAGAGCAAGTGGCGACGGACCATGCTTTCGCAGACCTATGAAGATGCAGAAGGAATGGCCTAACGCTCAAGAACAGGAGAGAGGCCAGAAGGCGGCTGAGATGAAAAGGGGGCTTAAACCGCCTAAGGTTGCCTCTGCTGCCGTGTGAAGTTCAATGATAACTTTGTGCGGATGGGAGCTCTCCAGTCTCTCTCTCTCTCTCTCTCTCTCTCTCTCTCTCTCTCTCTCTCTCCCCAAGCTTGCACAGCTGCATAACATTCGAGATGTATCTGGACTATGGGTCTCATCGTGTACATCTAACAGGATCTTCCAAAAACATGTTGTGACACTCCACCCTAATCCCATTTCCTGAACCGCCATAAGGAAACATACTTACAATGCTTACATTTGCCAGCCATTTTTTTGTTAAGGATTGTAAGGTAACTTCCGGTCGGAGGTGCTTTGAAGCATTGAGCTTTTCAAGCATGAAAAAGGTGCCCCCCCGTCCCGTGGCCATGTCCGTGTTCTTTAATTCTTTGTTTTTTTTGTGGCGGTGTGTGTTTTAGTACCATCAAATCCACATGATTTGGCCTGCTGCACATAGCGCTGTCTGGTCCAAAGGTAGCATCCAACCCGCGTAGTATGACACAGACCATACAATACCCTCTCTCCCACATAGCACCATAGCCGTTCCCAGGACGGAGTTGTGCCTAAGTGTGTCTGTTTTTTTTTTTTTGTGTGTGTGTGTGTGTGTGTGTGTGTGTGTGTCTGTGTGTGTGTGTGTGTGTGTGTGTGTGTGTGTGTGTGTGTGGCTGTCTTTGTGTGTTTATTATTTCTTTTATGTCATCTGTGTTTTGTTTTTTAAGCTTTTTTTCTCCTTTTTTTTATGGCTGTGTGATAGATCATAGTACCATAAAGTCCGCATAGTATGAACAAGTCCGCCCAGCCCACATGGTACACCCCGGTTCACATAGTATCACCCTCCCCACATTTTTTTTTTTCATTTCTTTCCTGAAGCATCCACGAAGGATCTACTACTGGGAGTGACAGGAGCATCACCCACGGCACATTATACCACCCAGCCAACATGGTACTCCCTGGCAGGGCCTTGGGCCGAGTTGTGCCTAACTTTGGTCATGTGTTTTTTTCCTTTTTGTGGCTTGGCCATGCGTCAGTCCACATACATGTGGATTGTTGACTACAGAGAGGCCCATGGTCTGCACTTAGGACGTGGACTTGATTTTTTTTCCCTTGTGTAAGGCCTCTTTTCGTTTTTATTGCTTGGCCGCATGGATGGCAGAGGAGGAGGGCTGGGGGGTAGCAGGGGGACACGCCCGAGTGAGAAGATGAGAAGGACGCGGCGGAGGAGGGACACAACGAGAATGCAGGAGAGGAGGTGGCGAGGAGGAGGGGGTCGGGGGASGAGGACGGAGAGGAGATGGCAAAGACGGGGGAGGAGGAGGAGGTGGCGGGGGAAAGGAGGGGATGAGGAGGAGGAGCAGGTGTGTACCGCAGTGGGCGGGACCTTATTTTTTTATAATACATCTGGCGAGTGCATGGTCACTTGAACATGCACTGAATGTATCTTTTTTTTCATTCATTTTTTTGAATGAGATGTGTGTGTGTGTGTGTGTGTGTGTGTGTGTGTGTGTGTGTGTGTGTGTGTGT